GACCACTCATCTTGGGCACTGAGTTCCCCTGCCCTCGAGAACCCCAGCACCTCTCCCACCAATCTCCTCAACTCCTTGAAGTTGGCCCTCTTGAAGTCTAGGGCTACCGCCTTACTGCAGGCCCTTGTCACCCTGCACTGGATGATGAATTCCAGCAAGCGATGGTCGCTATCACCCAGGTGGACCAGGACCTGGAGCCCCCTTACCAGATCATCGCCTGTGGCTAGGACCAGGTCCGACAGGACATTTCCTCTGGTGGGACTGTGCACCTCCTGGGTTAAGTGGAGGTCCTGTATCTCGGCCGGGAACCTCCTGGACTGGTCCAACCTAGCTGACTGCTCCTCCCAGCAGATGTTGGGGTAATTTAGATCACCCATGACAACTACATCCCTTGCCTTCAGTGCCTCTGCAAGCTGGCCCAAAAATTCCCGGTCCAGCTCCTCCCCTTGGTTAGGGGGTCTGTAGTAGACCCCCCCCATTACATCCCTCTCCCCACGACCCCCTTGTATCTTGACCCAAAATACTTCAGCTTGCCCCTCCTCTGACCCCATTTTGCTAGCAGAGAATGTGAATTGCTCTTTGACATAGAGCACCACACCCCCTCCCTTCCTTCCTTCTCTATCCCGCCTATAGCCCCTAATGCTAACTGCCCAATTGTGGGATGAATCCCACCACGTTTCTGTGATCCCTACTACGTCTGAGTTTGAACTGGCTACTCTGAGGGCGAGTTCCTCCTGTTTATTCCCCATACTCCGAGCATTAGTGTAGAGGCACCTGAGGCCTCCTGAGGGTGCTTGTGCCCTCCTCCCACTCCCAGGACAGTTGTGGCCTCCTGCTCCTCAGACGTTTATACTTACCTGTGCTTCCCTTCCTCTTGTCACCCTGCGTGCTGGTGAAGCATCCTCTCCACTCGAAGCGGCCCCTTCCCCCGGTGAAGCTAGTTTAAAGCCTGCCGTATGAGATTAGCTAACCTAGAGGAAAAGATACGTCTGCCGTTAGGGGAGAGGTGAAGCCCATCCCGCCCCAGCATGCCCTCCTTACAAAAACCTGGGTCGTTGGTTTGTTTCACTTACCACTGGGTAAGATTAGACACACAGACAATTATGGAACAGCTGAAGTGCATTAAGTTGTTTTCCTCTGTTAAATCACTAATCTGTGCATTCATCCATGTTCTTATAGGAAAACCATATAACCTACTGAATCACTAGAACCCCACCACCCTGGGTGCCTATAGATGTGTAGCAAGGCTGCTCCAACACTGTAATTACAGTGCATTGGAGCAGACTCAATTAATCGAGTCTGCTGGAACATGGTAAACAATTAATTGAGTCTACTTGAGCATGGTAATTACCGCACTCCAGCCAACTGCAGTGTCATATGTATCAGTGGTCCCATGCTTAAAAATGGGGGTGGGGGCCCCCACCCCCATTTTTCAGCATGGGGATGCTCATACATGTGATGCTCTGGGTA